TTTCTGTATAATAGTAAACAAAGAATAGCAAGGGTTATTATCCTGAAGAAAAACCAACATCTTTTTACTGGGTGACTAGATATTTAAGCTCGGGTAAAAGACATTCTTTCTCGTTTTCATAGCGAACAGATCTTTGTCAGTTGGAATTAAGAGGAATAACTGTCTTCCCGACGCGTGACTGCGATATTTGAAGTGTTTATATAAAGAATACGAGCGAATGAAATTGAAACAGGCAGTTATTTTTTATAGAAAACATTTTATACAGACGGAGCAAGTATATTGAAAAAAAAAGTATTCAAATATACGAAATTCTACCGAATCTGTATTCGAGGCACACAGAACATGACTTCAATAATTATCTTTTGACGTTCCAAATGATTAGACCTTTTTGGTAGACAACCACAGTCATGAAAATATATATTTACTTGTATAAATTTAATACTTTTGCAGGCAAATGTTCTGAAGATCTACATTCTTTAGTTCCACTAATTCTAACCGTCCTGAGTATGACGATAAATTGCATCCGCGTCCTGGGTAAGACGATAAACTACTTCCAATAGCAAGGCCACTGATCAGGAGGAACGTGGAACCACCTCCTAATTTTTGGTGTTACTAGATCTAACTTGACTCTGGGTGGTAGCACCTTTTAGTGTCCCAGCTATGGGCAAATAGTTAACTCCCAAACTGGCGTCAAAACACTATGAAATTGTAAAAATAGGCTTTAATGGCAGAAATACTTCGTAAAAAATTATTATAATTGTTTGAAGAAAAAATTGTAATCAGCAATAGATTATAAAAAATAGCTATTACCAGCAATATATTTTTGAAGAAAATAACCAGCGATACATTTTTGAAGCAATAATATTACCAGAAATAGATTTTTTTTAAAGGAAAAAAATACTACCAAAAATAGATTTTTTGGAGCAAAAAATATTACCAGCAATAAAAATATTGTCGATATTAAATTACCGATTCAGGTCGATATGTCGTAAAACAAAACAAACCGAACCAAACAAATTCTAAATTTCACAGCAAAGACTCGCCACGCGACTTATCGTCTTCCTTTCCTTTGTATACTATGTGCGTGAATGTGATTTCCCACGGAAAAAAAAGTTATTATCACGAACTGTTACTGTGTGGAAGGATTCCCGTGTGAATGCTTTCCAGGACACTACATTTTAAACCTCTTCAAATCTAGGCTTAACCGTTATCTTTCCCACGTAACCTCATAAAATGCACTTCTTAGTTTTCCTACTCATACAAAAAAACTTCTTAAGTATATTTCTAACTTGAATCAACCTTGGGCTTTTTATAAGTCTCTAAAAGTTAACTCACAGTTTTTTTATAACAGCATTGTTAAAATTAATTGTTATCGGCTTACGACTGAATTACGTTGAAACCCCGTTTCCCGTAAGTTAAGCAACGTCGAGCCTAGTCAAACCGGGAATCTAGACGAGTGACTGTTTGTAAACACCAGGTGTCGTAGGCATGGATATTAATGTGTTTTAGTAGATAATGTCTCGGAATTGTTAATCGGAAAGCCGGGTTCCAATTCCAGTTGAGTTCGTTATAAGCGCAAACACTCTTGGGAAAGCTATGTATCAACTTCTTCTAGCAGCTACGGGTTAATTAGTAAGACTAAATCTAAAAATAGTTCTGATTTTAAATAATCTTCAAAGGCCTGATAAGCCTTAAACATCAAATCTACAATCTCTTGCTAAATGGGGAAATGAGTGTCTTCTTAATTTTAACGCCTTAAAAACGAAACTGCGCTTTTTACCATCTATCAGCGTGGCTGATGCTAACCCATGGGAGAGGGAATCATTGCGCTTTACATAGCCTTTTTGGTGACGAACTGTTTTCCAGCCAGCAAAATTTTTCACACTGACAAAACGTCACTAACCTCTCGTTAATCTATTGCCTTTTCCCTGTGAAATGTTTTTACAATTTTCATTTCCTACCTCAAGCAGTTCAGACCTTCATAGCTAGCACTCACCATGACACATTGGTCAATTCATCTTCATTCGTAAGAAGTAAGTTCCATTCCATTTCCATAGTGTTTACTCTATGGAAAAAAAACTCCCGATAGGATGCTTCCCTGATCAGTGCAATCGGAACCATTTAAAGTCTAGGGTCAACTTTTCTCTATCCCACATATCCTTATTCGCTTATCATTTCATATTTTTCGTCTTAGACAGGATATTGATTAAGTAAGCCTCTTCCTTGAGTCCGTCTTGTGCCTCTAATTGGGTGAAAAATATTATTACAAATAAAGAGTTTAAAGAGTTCACAATCTTGTGATAAAATGATAAAATATAAAACACAGTAGAAAAAAAGTTACTTCGATCGTCACATTGCGTCCTGGAATTCTACAAAATAAATTCTGATCCCAATTTTGAGTCTATATTAGGTCGGAAGAAAATTCAGCGCGATTTTAAGTAAAATTCAAAGACAATGATAAAGTAATTCTATATAGATTTTTTTTCAAAGCTTTGTTATTCTGTTAAACAATATTTTGCCATCTTCGAGGCAGACTCATGATTCTAATGGCTAAGAAATGGGGATATGCCTGGGTAATGGATTGCTTTGAGAGATTTTTCACAGACTTTTATTAAATTTAACGTTCTTCCAATTAGGTGTATTTCGGAGGGATCAAAATAATTATTAACCCGAAGTTTCACGGGAGGGGTAGTTATGGAACCGAAGCCAAGATGTATCCATTTCTGCTGAGTCTGGTGGGGTCCTGATGATAGACGCCACATTTTAGATAGGCTAATGTGCAGGTTTTTCTTTGATTGCTGCCTTTATCCGATCTATGTATGAACATCTAGTTCTCGGAAGTCTCTTGTAAAACCATATGTCCTTCTAATCCGAACAAATACACAGCAACTTGTTTTTCACATCGGCGTTTGTAATTGATAACGATAACGTTTTGATCGACATTGTTTCAAGCAATCAATTATTCTTATGTACTTTTTTCAAGATGGGTTATTTTTGCGTTTCAGCAGAGATTTAAATGAAATTGTAACTCTTCAATTGAGAGGTGCCGAATCACAAAGATTCACGTATACATTTTGTATTACAACGTTATAGAAAAAATATTTTTTTCTGTGAACTTGATGTAAATTATATTAGCGTTTCTGTTTCCTCATAATTAATAACTGGACGCCAGCCGAAATATTCTCGGTCTCCGAGCATGCCACAGCACCTACAAATTAAACTTAAGCTATGGCACCATCTCCATAAACGGCACATAAATCGTTTTCTGTTGGTACAATTTATATTTCTTTTCCGAAAATAAAAGGGCATCAAATGATATATATTTACGTATTTTCCCATAAAACATATTTTATTTACATTGTTCGGACTGTTGTCCTCATCTTCACTGCCATACTCACGTCATTCGGCCGTTGAACGCACAGGTTTTCTTCAAATTAATTGAATTTCGAAATGAACCCTTTATTTCGTCCACCGCGGTAGATTTATTCTAGTTCCACGTGCCATGTCTCGATATCAGTTATCTCCCTTTAACTCAACTCACAAACTTTTTTGATCACATCTGGTGTAGCCAGTTTTTGAATTCACGATTCTTTGGCTCAAGTCAATGGAATCAACCAACGCTTTTATCTACTGGCCCATGTTCCTATAGACAGATACAAAAATATTTAAATTTACAATCCACCGATGTTCCCGTAGAAATATGAATTGATATATATATATATATATATATATATATATATATATATATATATATATATATATATATATATATATATATGGGTGTTTGAAATGTCACTCGCTGTTTTAAGTATGATGGAAGCTCTCGTTTAATTTTTTTCAAGACGCGAAGTAATTCATAAGATAAGGAATTACGTTTCAAATATCATATATATATATATATATATATATATATATATATATATATATATATATATATATATATATATATATAAAATAAACTGCTATATAGTATGCAATTTACCGCAACAAAAATTCATATTTATTTCGACGTACTCTACTCTTGTCGTGAGGCCTTTTTAAATTAATGTTATGAACGTTTGAATTTATATTCTTTTCATTTTTTTTTGTATATTATATATATATATATATATATATATATATATATATATATATATATATATATATATTTTGATCACTTTTGAAACGAAATTACCTATTCAAACACCGCCTATTGAAAAATACTAGGACATTTTGCTCGAACCCAAACCCAATCATAGATCTCTATACTCACATCTATACGTCGGAATCAAAACAATCATATATCAGGAGCGTGAAGAAGTTCCCAGAATCGATTTTTAAAACAACTACGGCTGAATATTGAAGTCAAAATACATTTCTTTTGAACGAAAAGCGCTGAAAATATTTTCCTTGTACTTAGCATATAAGACATACTTAAATTTATCTGCGTAAAACTGTATTAATCCTTGTCACTTTCTTTTATGTCTACCTATCTGGATTTTATAACATCAAGCACAATTACATATGTAATATCTTTATTCCTTTTATTCTTTCTTAAAGGAACGATTTAGTTAAATTATCAGAATTGAATACGCCCTAGATTACCTTGATGCAGTCTAAAAACTCACAAGGATTACCAACTAATATAGTTTTCTTGTTTGATTGGGAAACGTAAAATATTTCTTTTTATGTAACAAGATTAAGTTATAGAAAATAAACACTGGTTTAATATTTATTTATTTTTTTACTTTGAAAGAAATAAAGCAAATATTTACCCTAATGAAGTTCATATTTAAGGAAAAAAAAGAGGATAGTAAAGAAAGTATTTTAATGCCATTGTGCTTTCCGAAACTGTGTCCGGAAAATCGAATACCAGATTAGAATCAATGAGAAACCGGAAGACCTACAATGCGCATGTTAAATTCATGATTCGCTGTCAGAATACAGAAAAGAAAAAAAAAAAGAAAATCCACAAGGGTAAAAGTGGAGCTCAGATTAAGGAGAGGTTCAGAAATTGAGACAAAGAGAGTTTGAAAAGAGAGAGAGAGAGAGAGAGAGAAAGAGAAAGAGAGAGAGAGAGAGAAAATGAGAAAGAGTGATACTCAAATAGATTAGTGACACATAACCTTCAAAAGAAAAAATATATAAAAACAGATCACAAAGGAATACCAAACATGTCACGTGACGCTAAGAATTATAATCTTGTTCTTCATATATTTTTTTTCCTTTTTCTTCTGAGAGTTGCACTTTTTGTTGCCATTTATTGCAGACGCTTGTAAGACAAGTCGAATGGTAGCAAGGAAAATGCCAGATAACATCAGACTAAAATCCTCGTCTCCACCGCTGTACATTTCTCTTCTATCTCTCTCTCCCTCATATATATATATATATATATATATATATATATATATATATATATATATATATATATTTACCTTTATCTCAACCGGAGACTTCCGCCTTGCAGCAAGCCAACACGCATGCCTTGATCTGACACACGTTTGTTTCCATGTCGACTATCGCATGCAAAAGGCCAGGTGCAGTAGAATTGCTCCTAAGAGCTTGATATCACTTAATGTCAAGTTTCGTTGTAACGAGTCTTTTGCTACAATGGCCGAATTGGCAAAACTAAAAAAAGAGGTGCAAGCGATGAAGGCGCCGTTGGCACCGAAATCCGCTTCCGTTTTTAGCAACCAAATAAGAAACCTAAAAAGAAAAAAAAAATTTAAAATTTAAAAAAAAATATAAGGCAAGAACGAAGAAAAAAATAAGAGAAAATAGTGAGAAGAAAAGAGAAAAAAAAACGCAAGAGAAAAACAACCAACAAAAAGAAATTTTAGAAAGAATAAAAAGAACAAAAAACGAAAAAAAAATCGAACCTGGTTTTCTCTTGTCAGGAATGAGTGACATACGTTAAACAAGTCGGCGAATCTGGAACAAATAGCCAGGTTCGATACTTAAGAGTAATGGCAAAAGTGGCCAAATTCGTGAACGGAGATAGAGAGATTGGCGAAGAGAAGAGAACAGAAAAGGAAAGAGTCAACAAGTAAATAAGGCTTTTGACAATCACAACAGCGTGTACGTCAAAATCGCAAACAATGAGCAGAACTTTAATGCGATCGAGCCAAAGTTGAAAGAACCCCTCAAATATAAACATACACGACTCTCTCTCTCTCTCTCTCTCTCTCTCCATCTCACTCTCTCTCTCTTTTATTCCTTCTATGAATCTCTCTTCTTATCTCATGCATGTGCAACGTACGAGGTGGGGTCTTAATTCGACCCACATACAAATTCAATATTGTAATGGTCTATGTTCAGAATATAGAGATTAGGAAGAGGTTGGGACAGAGAAGTATAGCCGAAACCACTGTATATGTGTTAGTAGCTTTCTATACAAACACAAACGCGCAGAGACAAAATGGTTTAATAGAGAGCAAGCTTGACTCGCTAGATCAATTACGGCTGAGTAGAGCGTTCGGTTCTCATTTGGATCCTAAACTTCTGGCATTGTTCAACATCTAAAATCCGCTTAGAAAATCACTATATATATATATATATATATATATATATATATTAACTGATTTAAAATATGGTTTTTCGCCACATAGTTCTAACCATGTTTCAAAAATGTAAGCTAAAAGCTTCAAATTTAGTTTTGTAATTAAATTAAAAACATTAGTTCCATTTCATCCTCAAGCGAATTTTAAATTTTCGGTGGACAATAGCCTAGAACTTAGTGTCCACCGAAAATCAACCAATAAAAATGACTTCATAAACTTCTACACTCATCAGAACACGAAAATAAAATCAGTTTGTTACATTTTTCTAATATATATATATATATATATATATATATGTGTGTGTGTGTGTGTGTGTGTGTGTGTGTATGTATGTGTGTGTGTGTGTATGTGCAAATTGAGCTAGGGAGAGACATATATATATTCATATACAGTGGCCTAAGAAAAGTTTTTAAACAGGATAAATAAGCTACGTTCAAAATGTAATTACGTAATTCCTATTCAACATAAATAAACAGTATTTGGGACTAGTATGGAGCAAGCCCTCCATTTGCTAGTTTCAATGCTTTTATTCGATTTTTCATGGATTTGATCAAGTTATCAACAATCGTCTGATCCATATTTTGTCACTCCTTTAGCAATGTTTCTTTAAGAGTTGACACTGTCGTGATTTTTGTTGCACGCTCTAGAAGTCTTCAGTCAAACGTGCTTTATTGAACTCATATCAAAACTTTTGGCTACCCATGGCAGTGACTTGATTCCTTGTGATTCCTTCCAGGCCTTTGCTACTTTGCTCGTATGACATGTCGCTCCATCATCTTAAAAACGTTAGAGTGGGAGTAGTTCTTTCTCTAATATTTGAAAATATTTTGGACCTTTAAACCGATCGTCAACAAGAATAAGCTCAGATTTCCATCCAAAGCAGACAGCGTCCCACACCATTACTCCAATATCTCCATGTCTCACGGCTGCCTGTAGACATTCAGTGCTCCAAGCCTCATTCTGATTTCTTCAAACATATTTCTATCTCCACTTCGAATATTGGCAGAATTTAATTTCATCTGACTGAATTACAGACTGCCAAAATTCATAATCTTTCCTCTCGATTTCTCTCGTCCAGTCCATATAACTGATCATGTTAACCTCTGAAAATCAAGGGCTTCTATCTTGCAACTCTTCTTTCATAGCCTAGCCCTTTCAGCGTCTTTCTCACCGCATACGTTGACAATCCCATGCTGTTGGCGACATCTTTGACGTTTTGACAACAGTTTCTGATGATTTCCCTCTTCAGCGCCCTGGTCGTTCCCTCAAACACAATGCTTGGTCTTCCGGAACGTTGTCCCCCACGGCAATGGCCTTCTGCATTAAATTTCTTGACAATATTATTAACCGTTTGATGATTAACCTGGAAAAAACTAGCAATTTCTCTATTTGACTTGCCACAATGATGCCATCCTATTATTTTCCCTTGTTGAAATTCACCAAATCCGTTACTTCCACGAACTTTCATTGCAAGATATAAGTCAACTATTGTTGATAGATGATAGTAGCTTGATACTAACACGGTATTGTCTGAAAAAAGAAAAAGCGTTATTAAACAAGCCATAATTGCTGTAACCAAGAGAGGCTAAAAGCGTATCATATCCCGTTATATATGTAGGTATATAGATTCACGTATGTACATGCATGTATTATGATCGTGTCGCCGAGGATTTTAATATGTTGAGACGCGGGCTCGAATTTAAATGTATCCTATTCGTGAGTGAGGTACATACTTAATATGACCGGCAAAGGAAGGCTATACCAGTGAGAGTTATGATTAGCATGTGTCTGGACACCATGCCGTGGTTTAACCCTTGTGAGTGAAATTGATAAGACGGAAATGTTACGAATTCACCAAGCACGAAATCACAAGTCATCGTGACCGATGATTTGTGGGTCATGGCCTGTTTCAACTGTTGCTAACCTCTCTTCCACAAACTGAATAGCTGCAGGATATATCAAATGATGGCAATTTTGGTGTTGAACAAACACAAGTATGCCTGAATACGCGTCTGCAACAGGGATTTTCTAGTGGGGTTGGGAAACAAGTAGCCAGCCATATATGTATGTATATGTACGTGCGTTTGTGTGTGTGGTTATGTATGTATCTTTCCATGTATCTTGAGTTTGTGTCATGCAATGTTCGTGAATCGTAACATGGTATTTTTTCGTGGCTTAATTCTGTATGTATTTCATAATAATTCCAGATCGCTCAAGATTCTGAATTTTCCCATATTTTATTTCTTTGCACATGTAAGCCTAGCACAAAGAGCTAGAATGCTGTTCTTAATTTGAAATCTCCTCAGAACATTATCATAATAGGGGTATTAATCTTCACCGGATGCCTAACATCAGATGATCTGTTTAATATATATATATATATATATATATATATATATATATATATATATTATTGTAAAATGAGGAAAAGGTTTGGATAATTTTAAACACACAGCATAAATTGAATGTAATAGGCTCGAAGTGAAATATTGTGTGACTTACCTAACAAGCTTATGTAAATGGATGGCAGAACCCTGCTATTTAACCCACATATGGGGGAGACGTTAAACCGATTGAGAATGGGTGTGAATGCGAACATAGACCGCTATTTTAACCTGGATCCACGAACTATCTTTCTCTGCTGATATCCATCATATCACCTGCATATACAAGCTTATTAAATAAGTATTATGTCGTCTATGTCTGTGGCGTAACGACAAACGATCCACTTTGTAGAGCAGTAATAATGACTAATGAATTCGGTCCTTCCCAGGTGATAATATCATCGCTTTGTGCCAAAGTAAGTTCAGCTTATTAAAGTGAAAAGCGCATTTAGAAATAAAAGGATTAATAAACCAGTAAATAAAGAATGTCGTAAGCGCTTGAAACTTAATTTCTGTAATCATGGTAGCTGTAGTGCTTCTCTAATATAGATTGTTTTCTCTTGAAACTCGTCCAGTTCCCCAGTTATCTTAGCGCTCCAGGAAATGAATCCAAACTCTTCCGTTACTACCAATGAAATCCCTGTTCCAGGATATTCACCTTTTTGCAGAAAAGATTCTAGAATGTCCTTAATGTTTGTAGCTAGAAAATCATCTAAATAGCGAGCTTGTCTGATTGACTCTTGCAACACCGTATGAGTTCGACCCTCGCTAGATTTAGTATCCACACCTGCTACTCTTAGAGTCGACTGATACAATCTAGGTGGTGAAAAAAATATTAAAAACAAAACGGAATTAACAGAAAAATATCTTTTTATTATTTTTTTTCCTCGTTTTTCGTCTGATTAGCGCTAATTAAAAGGCTATGTGATATATTAATTGCTGAATGTCCGGCTCGATCGAGGACAGGAATTGATTTAGGAGGGTATGACTTTTATTGAATTTTTCTTGTACTTCGACGTTATACTTTATTTAGTTCTGCTGTTTACTTCCTCTTTGTGACTGACCGTCGCAGACTTTTGCCTGCTTGTTCTCTTCTTCCTCACCGTTCAACTTTTTTTGCTCTTACTTGATTTTTTTTTTTTAAAGAGACATAGTAG